TGATGGTGATATTCTCACCGATGACGATCTCTCCCTGAGATAGTGGCAAAATTATTCGAAACATAAGTGCGCCAGTGTACATAAAGACTCCACAGATTGTGACTAATAGCCTTCCTGTCTTCGCACTTTTGATCATAGTGTTTCGTTCTTTCACACTGAAGACGTTCTCCCAATCCTCCTCGATGTGTTTCAAGCATTGTCTGATATGATCATTACGAGACAAGAAAATACCATATTGAATGACGGTCATGAAGACGTAGAGAAGAAGAGGGGTTATCTGAAGTCGCACACGCGATGATTCCTCCAGAAGCCAATAAATGGTGCCGGGTATACTGTCACAAGCAAGAAGAACGTAGGAGCTAAAGATTAGAAAGAGATCGTAAATTTTCCAGAATATAGATCGCTTTCCACTGATAGATGGCCAAGCACCGATTGCAAGCATGATATTGCGAGTTGGTTGCATAACATATACAATATCATCTTGGCTATGTACGTTCCGCGGCATTTCTTTATGGACTTTGACAAATGTTCTGCGGTACTCACGGGCTTCGACCGTCGTGCAACCTACTGTTATTGCAAAATCTGAACCGCGACTAGTCGTGGAAGCACAAAGCTGGCCGTGAAGTGAGCTTCATTGCTCTCATACGCTTGCGCGCTTTAAAGATTCAAATGCTGCGTGTGTGGGATCAGGAGCAGAAAAGTTGTAAGGGAAGTTGAGTAAACCCCAAGAGACGTGATCATTTTCTATGAGAAGTATTTTTACCCGTCAGTGTTCGTTATCGACCTTTACGGCAAACAAGAAAATCGTAGTGTTTAACTTTATTCCTTTCTGCTTTGTAACTCGCAATCATGACATTGACTGTAAATTAACAGTTTCATTTACATTAGACGAATTACTTCTATTTGCTCAACTGCTACAGATATCCACGACAATTAGTCTACATAGCGAGTTTGCTTTTTAATGGATAAGTATAAGTTAAAGTATAAGTTGAATAAGTTTAAACTATATATTTTTTGAGAAGTGTTAAATCTTAAGCTAAATAATTCAAGGATAAATGCATTTTTGCAGTAATTTTGTTGCTTTGTTATACATATATTTATTTTAATATTAAATATTTAATATTTATTCTGTGCAATTACTATACTGTTTCTCAATAAAAATATGTTTGGTTAAATACTGGATATATAATAACTGTTAATCATATACATATATATACAGATATACAAACAAGTAAGAATATTAAAATTAATATAGACTTAACGACCAAAACTTAACATATATGTTTATTAATGCCTTTGCAATAATAAATATTTAATAAAAAACTTACTTATTGTTTTATCTGCATTGTTGTATCTTTTTTCATCAACAAATCCGTCAGCCAGGTTTTCGCACATCTTTAATCAAGAAACTTTCCAAATTGAAATCTCTTTGGAATATTTAAAGTGATGATGATTAAGCATTGTATTCAAACTATAGTACGAAGCCAGTTAGATGTTGTCAATACTAATTCCTTTTGAATTCTCGACCAACTTTAATCGCACGTCTTGGTACAGGTGAGCCACCGTATTGAATGATGAAAAAGCCAATTAACGTCAAATTATTCAGTAAAATGCTCAGAGTTTCTAGAAGAATGCTCTAAGATCTATGTTGTGTAACAAATGAGAAATTTCTCTATCGACAACAATGATAAGATCGATGTTCCATAAAGAAGAAGTATTAGCGATGTGAACGCAATGTCATGCGAGCTCTTTTACGTATTGAGTTGTTGGCAATGAATAAATTTACACAATCGATGATATAAATTGTTCATGAGAGAGGTATATTTAAGAAGACATTATGTCATATGTATTTATACTGCACTAAACTTTTATATTGCATAAATGTATTCTACTCCTTGCTTTTTCATCTATATGTACACGGAACGATGCTTCCTCTAGACACGTACGGTTCACGAAGCAGTTTCGACAATTAGCACTTAATAACATTCAGTCGATTACTTTTCGGAGCATATTAAAATACGCCCCGGCAGTTTTTATAGCCTAAAACATACAGTCATGCGATTTGCTTTTAATAAAAGCCTGCAAAATGGACAACTGATTAGGTAGACATATAATAATTATACATAGTATCGTACAAGAGCCGTATAGAAAAAAGAATTTAAATTATATTATTAATATCATATCTGTAAATAAAGGAATATTTATTATATATATAGTGTACTGACATTTATCATATACAATATAATTACTGCAAAGAAAAATAGATTAACACGATAGTATGAATGATTATATGTTCTAGGAAAAATCTTCACTCGAATGTAAAGAGAAAAGAAAATTAATTCAGAGCATATAAAATATTAAATAAAATTGTTCGTAAATATTTATAAAAAAGTGAATGCTGTAGTTTGAGTTAATTTCCTTACATCACCGAATGTTTTAAATGAGAGGTCGAAAAGATTTCCAGCGGATATCTTGATTGGAATATTAGACATCATCATTAGCAGCACGACGCAACGCGCTTTTTTATCCGGAAGACGATACCATTCAAGCTCGCAAGTGACAGTAGCCACTTTCTCCGCCTAGGTTTAATATTATAGAACATAGATGTCCACAAAATCTGAATGCATTACATTTTCATCGATGCTACTTTGAAAAAAGTACATAGTGTACATATATGTTGTGCTATTAGGACCTTAACTTAGTTTCCGCCCGCAAATGTTAGATGGCAATGCAAACAGTTCTAGTAGTCATTACTAACGAAACAGGTAGTTTGTGATTAATTTCGACATTTCTCGATAACATTCAGTCAGCATACACAATTATTTTCCTAAACAACAATTTCTTTTGCTTTGTGAAAAATGGAACGCGATAAAGTGTTTTTTCGACATGTGCTTTTGCACT